GGCCAGATGCTTTCCATCTCCATATAAGAAGGTACTTCTTCACTGTGAGGGTGACAGAGCCCTGGCACAGGCTGCCCAGGGAGGCTGTGGAGTCTCCTTCTCTGGAGATCTTCCAAATCCACCTGGGTGCCACCCTGTGCCCCGTGCTCTGGGTGTCCCTGCTTGAGCAGGAAGGTTGGACTAGATGATCTCTACAGATCCCTTCCAACCTTAACCATTCTGTTCTGTGATTTAATTCTTGCTCTCTCTATATGTGCACCATGACACCCTGATCTACCAGGCAATTTAATGAACAGGAGGTGATGGGGTTTGGACATGAACTACTCCCAAGGCTGCTTTAAATTCTGATCCAAAGGTAGTTTCATGAATAATACAAATTTGCCATTGATTTCTTTGGATTTTGGATTAAGGTTGTACAGCCTTAAAGTTGCTAGCTTTCTATAGAATTCAAATTCCTTCGAGTATGTTGAGGCTCAAGTAATCTTGTCATTAGAACAGCATCTATAGTATATAAATATTTATATAAATAAAAGTATATAAAGTATATAAATCTTTATATATACACACATTATACACACATGGTTGCAGAATGAAGATGACACCTACATGCTCTCTGAGTTGCTCCTGCTTTAAATGGGAAATCAATTTATAACTCTGTTATTAAAATGTATTTTGACAAAAGTGCGTAATAGCAATGCTCACGTAATGAGAAAATTGTATCCAGCTGTGATGCAAGTGTTAGGAGGTGAGAGAAGTCATCTCCACAGCTGTGGGAGGACACACAGCCACATTGTACGTGGTGCCTGGGACATGCAAGGAAGTTCTGCTGAAAACTCTGTGAATAGCATGTCCAACCACTTAAATCTGGAGCAGGTACTCATTTCTCAGCTACACATGCTTGTTGCCACGCTGCCTTGCCCTTACTTGAGGGTAAAAAAGACAATTCCAATGTTAAGAAATTAGTTCTGCCCCAGTGTTTTTTCAATTCTTGGCTGCAAGCTGGTAAGATTATCCTGTACTATTGGCAGAGTTTTATGAGGCATAGTAAGAGATCTACCTAGTTTGAGCAGGGCTGTGTTTTTGTTGTTGTTTGGCTGGGGATTTTTTGAGTGGAAGTGTTTTAAAAATGGGTGCCAACCCCCCTATTCACCTACTTCTCTTTAGGGAATACTGGCATGTGGTCACACTGCCTCAAAGAAATGGATCCTCTTTTACTGCCTAGCCATGGATAGGCACATTCAAAAACTTTGCTGCTAGCGCCCTCTAAATATTATAAAAAATATTGTTGGTTTTCATAATAACCCGATATTCATATTAGAAGCATGTTTCTGTAGTTTCAAATGTGCCATGTAAAGAAATGCTCAAAATGGGTTGCATGTTAGCATTTATGTGGCTGCCAGTATTTGTGATATGATGTTTCTGTGCCATTCATAAATGAATGATGAAATTCAGTTGTTTGAACATAAGCGTGTAGTTTCATTTTCATGTTCTAGGGGATCTTGCCTGTTCTCATGGGAATGGGAAATGTGGTAAAGAAAACCCCAGAGACCTGTTTCTTTCTGAGGATGCAGAGGGAGGCAAACAATGCTCCAGGGCATCTAGAAATTACACTACACAAATTTTTGTGTGTGACTGAATTTCCAAAACTATAACTATAAAGTTTTTCTGCCTCCTATAGGAAGGCATAAAGGAAATAACTGCCAGATCACTGGTTCCCTCATGTTTCAGGTCATAATTATCTTGTCCTGGATGAAAGGGGCTTTCATCTCTTCATGTTCCCCATATAAAAAAAATGGGGAATATGTATCACTCTACATGGAATTAATTCTTTGGGGATTTTATGGCAGTGCTTATTACAGCACTGAACAGTATTGTGCAGAAAACTCTTTGATGCCCATACTGTTCAGTGCTGTAATAAGCACTGCCATAAATCCCCAAAGAATTAATTCCAGAATTAATATTTAAAGGAGTGTGGAATAGTGACCAATGAATAGACATTGAATATCGATTCACTCAGAAATTATGGTTCATCCTGTGTGTTGAATGAGAAGAAGGATGGAGCGGTATCTAGACTTTTGCTGAAACTATATATTATTTTAATGTAGTTTTCTGGAAGTTTTGAGCAGTAAAGCTAAGTGAGCCCTTGATAGCCCCATCAGGTGACATTTGCTGCTGCTCTGGGCTATGCAGCAGTGCTGGAGCTGGTGGTGCAGCACTTGGGTTGCAGGTGCTCTCTCCACCTGCTTGTGCCTGGGGAGAGGCAGCCCTTGCATCTTGGAGCTCAGAAACGCTCTGGGGCTTGAAGGGCCCTGCTAGAAAGGGATGAATATCCAGGTTCTGTTTTTAAAAAGATTTCTTTTGTAAAAATATTATTTTTTACAAATGCAATACTCCTTATAGAGATTGTGGCAGTTATTTTCTTTCCTTATTCACTCTTTTAAAATCCTATTCTATGTCTAGTACTGGGATATTTAATTGGCTTCACTAGCTTTTTGCAAATATGAATGCCCTTGTACAAGGCAGTGCAGCACTTCTACTGCTGTCATATGACCCTGTCCAAGATTTAATTTTCCCTTGAGATAATTTTAGCCTTTCCACATGGAAATTGTCTCCAAATTTTATCAATACAATCTTCCTAATTGGTGAAAATATTAAATGTGACCTGTGCTTAAACAGATTGTTGAACTCCTTTTAGTCCAGTAGTTCAACTGTCAGCACAACGTGTTGGCTTTTTCCCCCCGGGTAGTTTCTTTTACAGCTTTTTAATTATTGCAGTAAATTAGTAAAAATAGTAACATCTGCTTTAACAATACTCAAAAAACTTTTTTTTTTTTTTTTTCACTTAAAGGACAGCTGGAAGTTTTGATTAGGACATAGCCCTTGTATTCTGCCTGGGATTTGTTAAGTTACCTTATGTCCCACTTCCAATTCTGGGCTTAGTTTATGTAATTTTGCAGTGTGTTCTAATTATTCCATTGCTAAAGTGGGAGGATGTAAAATAAAAGCCATTGACAAACAGCAGTCCTGGGGGGGTTCTAATCATGATTTACTATGGAAAATTATGTTGGGATAAAGCTTACCCAGCTCTGTTTAGGAAACTTGAGCTCTAAAGAGAGAGATGTATCCTGCTGGAGGAACTGGAGCTAAACCTCCTGTGTCTTTCAGATTTTAATCAGACCGGATGCTGAGCAATCTGCTTTTGATCTAACCAAGCTTCTGAAAATGTGCTAGACGCTGTGCCTGAGAGGCAGAGCCACTGAAGGCTCAGCACGCTTTTCAATTAAGCATCGTCTTAAATTAAATAGATGAATGATGAACCAAAGGACAGAATTACTAAGAAAGTTCTTCCTGCTGTTAAGGAATCAGAGCAGGAAGGATCTTAAGGACCCAGAGAGATCGAGATCTCTTTACCTCAAGCAAGTAGTACGACTGGCTCCTTTCCCTTTCAGCTACCTGTATTTTGCCTTCAGAGTAAATCCGGAGCGTCATTTGAACTCTCTTTACAGTCTTTCCTAGAAAGTCTTTTCCTGAAATATTTTCCTCAGGTTGCCATCTGTTGTTAGTTTTAAATAATTAATATATTTGTGGCTGTTAACAATTTAGCTTCAGTCGATTTCAGAAGAAATAGAGAAAAGCAGGTTCTGTCTGGCATCTGGTAGTGGTCACTCGGAATCCCATCATCTGTCTGGAGGAGCGCAGCCTCTTCTGCTCTTCAGTAAACTGAAGTGAGGGATTTGTCAGTTTATACCAAGCTTTTTCTGTCGACTTATCAAAATCGTGTGTTTTGTGTTGCTTGGGATACTGTAACTTACTGTCAAGTTTCAGGGCCTTTTCTGGGGCATCCCTTGCAGGGCAATTAGGAAAGTGTCTTTCAATGTGGTGAACTTGGGAGCCACTTTGTGGTGTGAACGTGTGGTAAGGTAGGCTAATCCAGTGAGGAGATGACATGGTTCATGGTTACACTGCCGTAAAACCAAAGGACCTCTCTGAGGCCCGACATCTCCCTGGGTTTGGAGGGGGTTGCAGTGTGAGCAGGGCCTGTCCTGTTTCTCGGTAACCTGGTGTGCTTGCTAGGCAATAAAGCCCTTTCTGCACTTTAGACCCTGTGCTCTCAGGTAATTTGTTGTATTTGTTTCACAGTGATTATACTGTGAGACACGATTCTGGTAACTATAACCTGGTTTTAATAAGTTATGCTCTTAAGACATTTTTTTCTCTGCATTTGCTGGCTTACATTTTCCTTTCATTTGATATGTGTCCACATTTACCATGCAACCCTAAACTCCTTCTTCCCTTATGGAGGACTAGATGGAAAGAGCAGGGGCAGCCCTAACCTACAGTCATCTGTGTGCTGAGTCGTGCCAGAAGAGAAGTATACAGGTGGGATGATCCCTGTTTTCAGTCCAAGTTCTGAAGAAGATAGAAATTGGTTTTAGAACCAGAGGGTGAGGCCAGATATCCCTTAAAATTGTTGTTACATGGGCTTGCTGTAGGTAATGGCTGCTGTGTGGACTGGCACTAACTTTTGAGCTTTGCTTGGTCCTTAGGTTTTGTGACTGCTTGTGCCTATAGGCAGCTAGAACATTCCCATCCCTATTAAATTAGTACAAGGACTATAGTTACAGGACAAAAATTTGGAGATGTCTTGTGGAATGTACATACGTGCAATGCATTGACTGTTCCGTGGATGATTTCCATGTACAGGTACTGAAGGAAAGGGAAAGCGTGCAATCCATTGCTGATTTCAGTTCCCCTGACTCTTTCTTTCATAATGCTCAGCCAACTAATGGACTAAACTGTCCCTTCCTCAGCCTCTGAGTGAAGGAGTATGAGGGAGAAACTTTCAATCTGTTCACTAAGCTGAGATGCAAAATGTTGTTGTTCTCATGGCTGTGATGTATTGAATGATGAAAAGCTAATATTTCCCATCACATCTATTCTTCTTTTCATTTTCCATACGGAGAGTGTTACTAAATACCACGTTTGCATCTGTTTTGTAGGAATCTCGATGGCCTTACTTATTTGGAATGATTATTGTTCCATCACTGATTCAGGCTGTGATTTTACCTTTCCTCCCTGAAAGCCCCCGTTACCTCCTACTTGAAAAGCACGACACACGAAGGGCAGAGAAAGGTATGCTGTGTTACTTGGTTTCTCGTAGCCAAGGATTTGTTCTGTAGGAATACAGGCTGGAAAGTTATTCTGACATCACAGTGAAAGCAGAATATTTTGCTTGCAAAATTATTTGCAAAGTGTGGATCAGCATCTGAAATGTAATACTACAATTTTTCATTTATCATTAAGTTAATCCAATTTACTCTATTTTGTTTCTATTACAATAATATGAAAAACTGTCATTTTGTATTGGTCAACACTCTGAAATAGAAATGGCATACAAATGAAAAGTCTGCCATGCTGTCTGAGTGTGGTATTGATTGAAAAGCTTTGTAAATGTATTGGCCACAAATATTTTAATTGATTCAGTTTCAATATTTAAAAGCAAATAAATGAGAAGCCAGGAAAAACATGAAGGCCTAAGGAAAAGTTCTTCAGCCTAACAGAGACAGCAGAGATTTGGTGAGGTAGAAAATACCCTTTTCAGAGGCCTCAAAGGAAGGGACTTGCCTGTCCCGGCAAGAAGATGGGAATAGTCTGCTGAGCCATTAACAGCTGGAGCACCACAGCTGGGAGAAATGCCTTTTGGTGCCAAGTTTAGACGGGCTGGGCTTTACATGATAAAACTGTGGTTGTCGCATTTTCTGAGCTGTGCCTGGCTGTGAGCCTGCATCATCCCTGACTTGTCATAGGGATCCATTGAAAACACTGCCATGCTAGCAGGAAACCTCACCATTAGCACAGTGAAACTGGGCCTCCCAAGTAGCTCAAACTTCTAAAAGAAAAAGAAGTATTAAAAAAAAAAAAAAAAGAAAGAGAATCACATAGTAGAGTAGCCAAAGTTTAAAATATAGTGTAAAAATGGCATTTAGATAACTCTACCTGCCTTTAATGCCATTTGCTTTATCTGATGATGGTCCAATAGCAGCCGGGAGTGTTTTTGGCATGCTCATTTTGAGAATGATTTGAAAGATGGATTTTTGTTTAGCAGGAATCAGGACAGCAAAAGTGCTTCTCTCTTCTTGCCAGTGATTAAGTAGCTGAAAAAAAAGAGCTGTAGCAACTAATTTACTGATATCTTTCTTGAAACAAGTGATAAACATGACCTGCCTTGAAAATTCATGCATTCTGATATATTCTGCATTAACATTATCTATATGTCTTATTCTGAAGGATATAGGAACATGAGTAATTTTCTTACTGCTACACATAGATATGAGCAAAGGGACTACAAAAGCACATTTCAAATGAGAATATCTTTAAGTATCCACTCAGCATAGAAAAGAATTGAAGAAAGTATTGAGGTGGTTGATGGAATAGGTGTCCCGTTGGACAGAAAATAGAGGAGAACTGTACCATTAACCCAGTCATGGGGGTTCAGAACCTTCTACTGTCACTTCAGGGCAAATGGTAAAATCCAGGCTTATACAAGAGCCAGGTCTCAGGTGGTTGGGATTCAATGTCATGACATAGTGAAAGGAAGCAAGAGGAGAGTGGCCAACTGCAGATTAACAGTTAAAAAAAATCTGTCTGCATTAAGTGAGGAGATGGGTCAGGAAATGCAAGAGTATTAGGGAGACCAGGGGAATTTGTGGATTATTAGAAAAGCTACTGCTCATAAACCAGCAGTGACAATTCCCCATTTTAATGATGACAACAGTAATGGACTTGAATTATTTGTCTCTCTAGGTTAGATCTGCATATTCATGTCAAAAATGTGTAAGTCTTGTGATTAAATGCTTTTTCTTTCCCCCAAAGAGATCAAGGCTATTCATGCAAATGTCATATATTTCACTGTGGATTATATCTTGCTGGAAAAGTTTAAAGCTGTTATCTGTAAAAGGTCTGCTGGATTTAAGGCGGATGACTGCATTAGTCTTTATAAATTACTCTGAACTATACTCATATCTCAAAGCTTTTAAAATGGAGGAGGACAAAGGTAATCTGCCTAATTATTTTAGAGTAATGAAAATCCAATAGGATAATGTAGGTCTTTGAGTTTTCACAAAGCTTGTCTCTTGCTTTCATCCCTTTCTTTGTCTCTATCAGTTAACTAGACTATAACAACCTAGGTACAGGTGCCCTCATTCTCATCTTTGGCAGTGGTGCTTTAGAGCACGATGGCTTTAAGTAGTAAAGGGTTTTAAGGGTTAAGCAACTTAGACTGTTCCAATAGCATCTGCTGTTAATGTGCAAAATCTCATCAACTAGTGTGTTCAGTCATTCATTAAAATACTTGGTGTCATGAAAGAAGCATTTCATCAGTTAAACGTGAAGTGTAGGTTTTTAATTTATAGAAAGATGGATTTCAAATGCTACCATTTGATATGATAGAGGAGTTTTTGCATTGGTCCTGTGTGAACTGAAGAGAGATTAAACCAGATTTACAGCAGGAACAACTGCTGTAAATGGAGTTGCTATTGCAGATAGCAAGAGTGTATATCGCTTTTCCTTTGTGCTTTTTGTGTATCTGACTGTGATAAGCAATAGTGCAATGGAAGAGCAATCGTGGCTGCTAAACTTGCCAGCTTATGGCAGAGGCTTCAGCCCAGGTGGTTATTGCCTGCCAGAAGCTGCAGTGACAGTGATGATATCTGCCTTCTTTATAAGCTTTTCCTAAAACTCTTCATTTTTCAAAAGGATGCTTGATTCACTTGATACTTAATCTAATTTAGTTTATCAATATTTAGGATTAAGTTATGGTTAACTTAAAGTATTATTTTAGGGTGACATGGATATTTTATTTTACAAGTATACCTATTTTTGAGTAGACTGAGCAGACTTCTTTTGTATTGTGATGGTCTGTGACATCCGAGATAAGAATAGGTAAATATATGATCCCAGACTGGATGATCACTAATAGATCTGTGTGTTTTATAAGGACGAAGGGACTGCAATATAGGAAAAGACCAACGAGTTTTTTTGTCTAACTGCAGTTGTACTTACTCAATGAGACTAAGAAATTTAAGGTTTATTTTTAAACTTTACCATAAAAAAATTAGTATTTAATGTTTTGCTATATTTTAATGACTATGTAAATCTCTCCTGGCAAGATGCAGCCAAATTATTCTTCTGGCTACTCAGTACTGTAATAAAATGGGCAGTATTTGAAAATAGTATTTTTTCCAAATATTTTTAAGCAGAGATAAATCTCTTACAGACAACTTATCATGTATCTGATTCAAAAGCAGTGAAGCTGGACAGCTTTTTGCAGTTGGTGAAGCAAGGAGTGAGGCACCCTGTATGTCTAGAAACCAGCATTAATGAGGAAGGAGGCTGCACAGCCTCACACCAGTGGCTCATCTGGCCCAGAGGTCTGTCTTTGGGAACGGCCAAATATTGTTTAGGGAGAGCTTAAATGAAGCTTATCAGTAAAGACACTGAGCCAGTACCAATATACATTGGTGTTAGTGAATTGAAAGTCAGCAGATCCATGGGAAGCAGACAGCAATGCTACTCATACCTTATTTTTTATTTTTTACTTTTTACTTTTTACTTTTTACTTTTTACTTTTTACTTTTTACTTTTTACTTTTTACTTTTTANTTTTTACTTTTTACTTTTTACTTTTTACTTTTTACTTTTTACTTTTTACTTTTTACTTTTTACTTTTTATTTTTTTTATTTTTTATTTTTTATTATTTTTATTACTTTTTATTATTTTTATTATTTTTATTATTTATTTTTCATTATTTATTATTATTTAGTATTTATTTATTTATTTATTTATTTATTAAATGGTATAAACATTATCCAAACTATTGCTTGTGACTATTCTCTGCATCTGCTTCATCTTACCTGGGGCTGACCCTATTCTGTAAACCACACAGTGACAATTTCCTTAAATATCTTCTCCAAACTTACATGTTAATTCAGTCTTTAATAAAATAAAAAATAAAGAGCTTTCTTTACATAACCCTGGAAGCACTGCAGTAAAACAAGAATTAGTAATTCCATGCGTGGTTGAGTTTTGTGGCCAACTGAAGGTAATTTAAAGGCTTGGCTGGTTTTAAAGACAGGACCGATTGATTTCATCCAGAGCTCTGAACTGCTTTGAAATGTTTCACCCCAGTTTAGCCAAGATGAGTAAAAGCTATGGTCTAAATGGAAAGCTTCCCTCTCTACTTTCCCCTTGACTGAAACTGTCCACTTCTTCTGCTCTTTATAAAGACAGCATCCCAGCCTTTGAAAGCAGAGTATTTAGGACCTTCTGCTTCAAGTGAATCAAAGGGAAACCTGGGAAAAGATCTAAAAGTTGCCAGACGGAGACTCTGGATGGTTTTATGTGTCATCAGGACAAAGACATGAAAATAAGACCTTCTTGTAGAGAGAGACTACTGATCACAGAGGAAAATGAGTCATTGCAAAAGGGATAGCAAGGACTGCTGTGATGCTGAGTGCCAATAATGCAGATGTTAAAATCTAAAATGAATAGAATTGAACATCACAAATTAAAAAGACCTTTTAGGTTTTTCCATTCCCTTTCCATTCTGCTAATGCGGAATTTATTTCCACATTAATTATGGATAAAGTTGCAATTCTTACTGCATTGGGAAAGCTGTATTGAATAGTGGGGAAAATGTTTCCAACAGAATTGGTGTTGCCTACTCAAAACCATGCAGGAAGAGCATAACATTATCACAGCATTTCTTGCCCTGTTGATAATTCAAGTATATGTCAAATTTTTTGTATTAACCCTTTACCCTTGAGATCCTCAAACAAGAAAGATAAAGGAGAGGCTTATTTTTTTGCCTTGTACTTGGTAAATTTTTGCATTGGTATTTTTCTGTGTGGTGTGTGGTTTTGGGTTTTTTTGTGTTGTTTTTTTACTTCCTGGTCCCTCTAGAAATGTAGCAAGCTCCCTTGTGCAGAAAAGACAGATTGCTTTCTTTTTACTTGACTGCACCTATATTTTTGACTTGCATGCCCTACAGGACTACTGAGGATTCTAAGGGCAGGGGAAATAAAGAAAATTGTGCACTGACCTAATTTACACCAATAAACAGATGCTTAAATATCTATGAGAGCTTTTAAAAGGAAAATACTTTAATATATGAATGTTCTTATTTTTACAAGATTTTTTAATTGTTAATGGTCTAATAATACTGATGATTGTACTATAAGTGTGGGAACCTTATAATAATAAGACTGTAGCACACTCTATACATGTATTATTCTTGTTTTACATTACTTGGCCTTTAAATACATCATACTCATTTTAGCAAGCATTTAGCATGTCATTTAACGATAAGTGGACTGTAGCACAAGGACAAAACTTGACAGGTTAAATTCTGGATCGCAATGCAGGGTTTTTTTAATCCATCTCTCATTATAAGGCCTAGGGGAAAAGGTAGATCTCATATATTTTCCAAAGGGATTTAAAAATTCCGACCTATCCTCTAGCATGAGATAAGCTGCATTTTAGAAGAAATTAATATTATAAACTGACTGTTGTACCCAGAGGTGATGAGTGTTCTTCCCTAAAATCATTCCTCTTTTTAGAGAGGATCATGTAAGGACGATTAAAATGCAGTAGAGGTGTTAATTGTGTCTGAAAGTCTTGGCAGGTTCACTCAGTGCTGAGCTGGAAGCCAGGCAGACGGTGCCGGGTTGCACATCCACAAGAGGAAAGGAGGGAGCTGCTCCCAAGAATCCCCCCTTTTGATTTATGTGACTTGCCTCTCGGGACATTGAAATGCCACCACTTGGCCTTTTTAGATATTGGGTAAAGTTAAAATCTAGTAACTTCAAAACTTAAATCAAGTCTAGGCATTTTCATCATGACTAGTCAGTGTCTCTGCCTTTATTATCATCAAAGTCTTTTCTATGATCCAGGAGAGAGTATATTGTATTCTAAAATATTCACATGAAGTATTTATAGGCAGTCCTAGGGAAAGTTGTAGATAGATTAAAAGTGGACTTGGGTTTTTGGAAAACTAAATCAGCTTGATCACTTTTAAAAATAAAATTACTCTTTTTATTTTTAAGTGACCTGCTGTGTAAGGGATCATTTTTGGAGTCAGCATCCTGCTGGGTTAGAAAGCCTGGTTGCAGGGGCACGGTTAATGTAATTGTTTCTCTGCAATCACTCCAAGAAGATGAATGCTTTAAATATCTCTTAAAAAAAAACAACTCCCAGGGAATGTTCACAAGCTTGTGATGAAAATATCTTCAGCTTAACCACATTTATAAAGCAACTTTGTAGAGATTGGAAATAGATGGGAATAGACCATCTCCATTACGATACCTTTGGGATGGTGCGTGAGCTTTATTATTCACAGTGGAAAGCTAGGTCAGTAAATCATTGGCGTGCAGTGACATAACCCCAAACATCATGCATTTTTTTGTGGAGTGTTTTGTTTGTTTGCTGATCTTTGCCAGATGAAGAAACTACTGTGCCTCCAGTATTGACAAATAGGAAGGCTTGAATTGCTCTATATAATTCTTCGTAATATTTAAATATATGAAAGTGAATCCGAGATTATATGTTTGTGAGAACAGGAAATACTTTTAGGAGTAACAACGATGCCTTTCAAATGACTGTTTTCTATTGGTTCATCAGACTTGCATACTTTATACATACAATACATACAATACATACAATAAAAAAAATATATACACACACACTCTCGCTCTCTCTCACACACACACACACACACACACACACACTCTATTACTTCTCTGTCCAATTTTTCTTCAGCAACAAATTCTGATACATCAATTCGACTGCAAAAGTAGCAAGTAATCAAATGACGTTCAGAAACTGCTTTGGTATTAAAACTTTTTTTTTTTTTTTTTTAGTTTTTCAGTTTTTACGTACAGTATTTTAACCATACACTATACCTTAGACTATATTGCATGTGAAATAATATAAGGAGAAGGACTGATTGGGTGCTAAAGAATTTGTATTCTTATTGCACTTTCTGAGACTGAATACAGGGATAAGGCAGATCACACCTAGACTGTAATTTTCTTCTTTATCTTCATCAATAATATGGCTAAGTTATAACCATGCATATTTTCTGGTTTTCACACAGTCCCATTTCTTTATAGAAACCCCTTATTAACGCATGAAGTGATAGATGACTGACCTAAAGTGTGTGTCCTCTGTTTGCAGCATTTCAGACCTTTCTTGGGAAAGAGGACGTATCTCATGAAGTAGAAGAAGTTTTGTCAGAGAGTCGAGTCCAAAGAAACACCAAGTTGGTGTCGGTGCTTCAGCTCCTGAGAACCCAGGCCGTGCGCTGGCAGGTCGTTACTGTGGTCGTCACCATGGGCTGCTACCAGCTCTGTGGGCTAAATGCTGTAAGTTCCCTCTGTAGGCAGTGGGATAGTCTGGGGTAGATAAGCCATTCGGTTATTTTGCCTTTTTTTTTGCCTTCTGCTTAAATAAATTGGTAGGAAAAGGAGAGTTACAACTGAGGCAGAGATGGCTTCAACTGAGAGGCACCTGCAGCTTGTTTGTGATGTGGCCAGTCAGGACCACTGAGGGATCTCAGGAGAGGATGGAGAACTTTCTTTTTTTTTTATTTGTTTAGCTGTTATTTTGAAGTCCATGAAAAATTACAGACCTCAGAAGTGATGGACAAAATGTGACCCTTCTGTTCAATGCTCAGGAATAATTTCTAGTATTTAGATTTTTTTTTTTTTTTTTTTTTTTGGATATATCAAACCAGTTAATATCTGGGATATATAAAAGGATGTTATTGTGTCTGCTGAAAGGAGCTTGGCAAATGCAGCTTCTCACAGTGGCTTTGTGCATTACCACCTACTTGAAACAGTTTTATTCCCCCAGTGCTAATCAGCACTAATGAGCATAAATGTTCCTCAGTCCTAAGCTAGCTAGTCCAGAGGTATCTCAGGTATTCGTGAATATAGTGTTAGAAGTCATAGCACAGAATAATTGCTCCCAGACCAGATGAGAGGTTACATGATGAGAACTCAAGTATGAAAAAGTTTTTAACTGACACACTAGGAGAGAGCTAAAAGAATTTTCGCACTGTAGGTTGAACTATAAAAACACTTGTAGAGGTGACATTTTCTCCTAATGGTAGGATTTCAGTGCTAATAACAGGCTATTTTATTCCTCACTGAGGATACTTTTTCCAGAAAAGAAATGGAATTATCTTCTCATCCAGTCTTTCTAACAATTTATCAATGCATATGTGCAATAAAATGACACTAATAGTAAGAAACAGGCTGTTCAAATTATAAGTACATTCCCTAAAGAAATATAAAACAACAACACAGGTACATTTTCAGGAGTAAAAGAAGAGATTTGTAGCTTTCAGGATATTTAACAAATGGCAGAGACTGCCCATGTCAGAGTAAATATTTTCTCATGACATAAGGTCACGTAGAGGTTGGAGCAGTTGGATGTGTCCAGATGCGTCCGAATGCAGATGCTGTTTTAAAGAATCATGAGAGGAGGATTCCTTCTCTGGAAATATACCCCAGAAAAGCTCTCTTCATCAGGATCAGTGCCAACTGTTTCAAGCCTTACCTTAATAATCATTATTGCTACTTTATGCAATTTTTATTGTTATTACTTTTTATGTACTATGACTAAACATGGAAAGAATTTTCATACAAAATGAATATTCTGGAATTGAGGGTTTAAATAGTTCAAGCATGAAAAACAGAGGATAATAGAGATTAAGAGAAATAGTTGGACCACTAAAGAGATGAGGACTCTTGCTCTTAGCTTCCCTGATTGATCTTGAAGTTGCCTGAAGCCTAGAAACTACCAGTACCAATACAGATATTTCAGATATTGCCAAACCTAATTCTTCGATTGCTGGCTGCAGCTGAGCTTACCTGGTGGGTGTGAGATAGTGTCCATCAACCAGCAGCAAATTCGTATCTCATAACTCTTGCTTTGTCTGTGGTGCCCTATTAGTCAGTCTGGTATTTTCAACAGCTGCCATCTGGGCTAGACATATGGGAAAGTTGGACTTCTTTCAGGCAGGAGGCTCAAATGACCCCCAGTGAAAACTACCAAATGGCTGTCTTCTGTGATCAACCTGCTGGTATCTCAGAATACTTATTTCCCTCTAAGGCTTTACTTTATTACAAAAAATATTTTGCTTCAAAATATACTAATATATTCAATTATGATGAAGTCCTACACATTCTGACCTAAATTAACATAAATATATATCAGATTAAGATTTTTTATTTGTGATGCCTATTATCCAAAATAAATGTATTTACCTTCCACCCTCATTTCTCTTTACCTTCAGTTCTAGGAAGGGCACAGAGCTAAATTCTTACTACTAAAGTTTATGTTGTTCATACAAACAAATGTGCTCTACTGCACATTGTGTTAACACAGCTTTCCAAAGTGGGATCCCTTGATTTCTTGATTTAAGCCAGGGAGCTATATTTCCAATGGCAGGAAATCACCCCAAGCATGAAGAAGGCATAGAGCAGCAGAGTATGGTGGTGCTACCACAGTGTACTCCTCAGGCTTGCTGGAGGGAACACCTGGCCACAGGTTGCATGAAAAGGGATGAGGGCAGAAGGGTTTGGTTTCTATCTTTTTTCTTTTTTTCTCCTTCCTTCTTGCCACATTGAAGGGAAGAAAGCTGAAAATTTTAGGAAAGAATGTATATGGGCCAAATGAGAAGTAAAAAGCCTGGAAAATGGAGTCAATTTTCTGAGGTGTACCAGGTGTGAAAAAGTTTAGGAACATGACTGATGGCATATAGCAAATGCCGTTTTAAGTTAAAAGCTTGTAAAAGTAAAAGCTTATTGTGAGAAAGCTTAAATTTGATGCAGCTAGAAACATGCTAAGGACACTGCTAAAATGTTGTCTTCAGGCTCATAAAGTTCAAACGGCTGTAGTGGTTGTACCAAGCTTATATAGCCATTGCCTATGGCCTCTGCTTAAAGGAATAAAATGATGACTTAAGGTTTTTCTTCCTTATGCGGAGAAGCAGAAACTCATCATGGATGAAAAAAGAATCTGATGTCCCTGTAACACTCTGGACAAAACAATGGTTGTTTCTGGGGTTTTGGACCTTCTATCTCATGTCCCATAGCTTTTCCAGTTCAAAAATTGTTAACCCAGAACATCAGCTTACAAAGGCCATGTTAGAAAGGTTTCTTAAATGAAAATGGAGTAGTCATCATTAACCTAGTGAGTAGCTCTTCTCTCAGTAATGTCCTAGTGCAGTGTATTTCCCTGGCAAAGGATACGCAGGTTGAAAAACCTTTACCTTTATTGCTTTTAAAATGTGTACCTACATGTTAATTTTTACTTTAATTTATTTTTGTGATGTTACAGAGGTTAATAACTCACTGAACCTCATGTTGCCATTGCCAATGACATTGCTATGCCAGTCTTTTTAATCTTCTTATCACTCTTATATCAATGGTCACTTATTCTCTTTCGCGGCAAATCACTTTTTATGGCCTAGTTGCTATGTGTTGGCAGATGTATTCAAGCAGGTATTGTCTGCTTGGGTGCCTGTTTAGCCTCTTTAATTTTGTCCTTTTTCAGGATTAGTGCATCTACAATATCGCCTCTATTTTCTAGAATCTCTAAGTGCTATACAATACTGATTATCAAGAGGGAAATATCTAAATTACATGGTTTCCAAATTCTAACACTTGACTTCTTTTTCCAGAACCTTCTTGACTAGGGCACCAATGAAACACACAGTTAACACCACCACACATTACACAAACATACAAACATAGATTGCTTCGTATAGAGAAAATTGCTGTTACTCTTTATTGTATCTACATCTCTTTAGGCAAGGGCTGAAGTGTGACCCATAGGTATAAAACTCTTAAGTCAGCCTCTCCCTAGCTGTAAAGTAATATAGGTAGCTTTATAGTCCTTGGTATTTTGTTACTTTTGTTTTATGTAAGATGAATTATTTTCTCCTTTGGTCTGGGACAAATTGTTTTTTTAAAAAAGACTCTGTGTTAGTAGCATGATGAACAGATGTATCTTGAACAGATGTAGCATGTGCCTAATCTGTTGGCAGATAGCAGGGTTTTCCTCTTGCGATCAAAACACCCTCTGTCATTAGAGGAGCCTTTTCTTGAGCAGTGCTTCTCCTTTCAGGGTTTGTTTGTGGAGAGTATGCAGGGAAAACATATCACTGCTAGTTTCCTGTTTAGGGCCATATGTTATCTCTGACTTTCATTTTGTTGTTGATAATTGTTTTTTGTTTGTTTGTTTGGTTGGGTTTTTTTTTGTATCACCTTCTCAATAAAATCAATTATCTTTTTCCAAGGCTGCCTCTCCTAGCTGCATGCTTCTGGTAGCTGAAGTCTTTGGCAGGTTCTCTTGCCCATGATTCAGTGCATCCTAAAGCACTCGTTTCCTTTTGATGAAAACACGGTCTCTCTAAAATGAGTCCTAGTTGACACCAAGTTAACCACGAGCCAGTTGTGCTCTCATGGCCAAGAAGGCCAATAGGATCCTGGTCAAGGGAGAGGATCCTGCCCCTCTACTCAGCTCTGATGAGGCCGCACCTGGAGTGCTGGGTGCAGTTCTGGGCTCCCCAGTATAAGAGGGACCTAGAGCTTCTAGAGAGGGTCCAGCAGAGAGCAACTAAGATGATTAAAGGACTGGAACATCTCTCATATGAGGAGAGATTGAGTGAGTTGGACCTGGTTAGCTTGGAGAAGAGAAGGCTGAGAGGGGACCTGACCAACATGTATAAGTTCATGAAGGGAGAATGTAGGGAGGAAGGGGCCAACCTCTTCTCAGTGGTGGCCAGTGACAGGACAAGGGGAAATGGGCATAAGCAGAAACACAGGAAGTTCCATCTCCAGGTGAGGAGGAACTTCTTTACTGTTAGGGTGACAGAGCAGTGGAACAGGCTGCCCAGGGAGGTTGTGCAGTCTCCTTCTCTGGAGGTCTTCAAAACCCGCCCGGATGCCACCCTGTGCTACATGCTCTAGGTGTGCCTGCTTGAGCAGGAAGGTTGGACTAGATGATCTCTAGAGGTCCCTTCCAACCTTAAACATTCTGTGATTCTGTGATCTTTTCTCTCTGTTGAAAATAGAGAGATTAAGGTGATGGCTTAGATGTAATGTCCATCAAGTAAGAGAAATCTCCCACTTTGTGACTGCCTACGTATGATTTCGGCAATGCCTCTGAGAATGTACATCTCTGTTCAGCTCTTGTGTTCAGCTTTGGTGTCTATTCTTACTTGTCAGTGAAATATTTCATCAGGTAACCCAAACATGCTTTTAAACAGAGTCACTAAGCCATTGTGTTTGTATTCTGTTGTTCAAGCTAAAGCAAGTTTCTTCAGTTTACTTCCAAAGTGAATTAAGCTAAAGAAATTTAAAGCTGCTTGTAATTCTGAGCAAGCAGAAGTATAACTTAGTGTTGGGACAAATCCCCCCCCAAATACTTTCATTTCATACTTTCATACTTTCATACTTTCATTTGTCTTTCTGCCCTCAGCCATTTGGTAGTGCTGTGTATTTTAATGATTCTGGTCTTTGCAGACTAGATGCTTAAATTGAATGCTGGTGTTTTGTGGTTAAAACATTCACTTCTTACTGTTACAGATCTGGTACTACACAAACAGCATCTTCAGTGAATCAGGGATTAACCATGAAACAATCCCGTATGTTACTCTAAGCACTGGTGCTGTTGAGACCGTGGCTGCTGTTTTTTCAGTAAGTATGGTTGTAAAAGCTCATTAAAGTGCTTAATATTTAAATTACTGATGCTTTCCTTAGACAGGATATTATATAATCAAAATAGTTTTCTGAGGATTAAGTATAATGGTTTATAATGCAATTGAAAATATAATTGTAGAGTTTAATCCTAGACCCATTTTTTTTTTGGCATGTAATGTTTTGTTTGTTTATAAGAAGCTGCTCTCTGATTTCAGTTGCATCAAAAGTTGGTATATCCTGAGGCTGTTTGTATAAATAAGGAGGAAGAAGGCTGGAACAGGAAGGCCCAGAGTACAGCAAATGATCATTCCTAAGTGACTTTAGCTGGTAGAGTGGCTGTTATAGCAGCTTATCCTATTTCAGCCTCTTCTTTGGCTCCTGTTGGAAATCAGGCAGGGTTGCTGGCTTGTTCATGGGCAGAGGAGTGGTAGCTTCAAAGTATGGGAGTTCCTGCATAGATGAAGTACATTTATTCTGTGCACTCAGGGTAGGGCAGGTTGTTAATAAGAAAAAAAAAAAAAAAGAAAATCATCTGTGCACATCTTTTTTCTTTCCAATTTTAATACAGAAAAGTTGATTAGAGCGGGGGGGGGAAAAAAAAAAAGCTTCCTGAAGAAATTCAGCTCCAAAGTTCAGTAGATTAATGCGTTATTTGCTGCTTAAAAAATCCTTTCTGTTTGCATTGTCATAAATAAGAAATAATGAAGATGTTCTTGGAATGAAAGGTTGTGAATATTGTTTATTACTTTGCTACAAATTTTTTTTTGGTCATCTTCCTATATTTGATACCAACAGTGTTTTGTAAAGTACCAAACACACCAGACAGGCAATTTGAAATGTCTGAACAATTATATTGGCAAAAATTCTTTCCAGTGGCAGAGCAACTGCTTTTGACCTAGGAAATGTTAAACTAAATCTTGTTATCAAGTGCATTTTCTTATAGTGTAGGACGTAAGGAATCTTAAAGGTCACAAAGATGATCTTCAGATCTTTGTAAACTCTTACATAGTCATTTTGGGATACACTATCATCTTTTTTTTTTTCTCTCAGTAAAAGAGACTTTAAAAAGATATCAAATTAGCAAAGTATTGAAATCCCAGCCTCTTAAAATTTCTTCTCTGATGCTCCAGAAATACTTTGTTGTATAAGATAAATGTTAAAATAATAATGATAATTCTGCTGGCAATTTAAGTGAAGAATACAGTTTCTGTGAGTGTATGGAAACAGAATACAATTACATGGAGATTCTATGGCACCAAACCATTCTATAAATAGGGTCTGTCACCTCCTCAGTTCCCTCTGTGCCATCGGTTTGTGGGACTTATACAGAACACATTGTTCATCCATAATGAGGTGGTTGTGTCTCCTTTGGTTCCTTCCATGAGTGGTAACTTTTTTTTTTTTATGCCTGAAAGATGTATTTTTAATATTTTCTATATTCAGTCTAGTCACCGTGCCTCTGGAAATGCTAATGTAATGAAATTTCTACCCCTTCAAACTTGCTATTTCTGTTCTGTTGAAGTGCTGCTTTATAGCCTTTAACAGTAACCTTCAAATTCTTTTTTCTTTGCTGCTATTCAAAGAAAAACCACACAGTATTTCTGTTAAAACTTTGCAGCTTCTTATTTCTGCAATAAACTTTCTATGATGTTTTTTATGCCTAGATCTACTTATAGTAGATTTTCTCCCACTTCCAAGCTCTCAGCTACATTTTCTGCTTTCCTTTATTTTTAATGTATTTGACAGCATCAAAGACTGAGTCAGATGCATGTAGCACTCAGCAGGAAGGCAGAAAGAAGCAGAACAAAGCATGGGCAACATCGTTTTCCTGATACTTTTTAGCATGCTTGCTAGTAGAAACCTGGTCTTTTCTCACAATAAATCCCAGGTTCTTAGTAAATACACATATCAATAAAAGAAGTAGATTTTTTTCTTGTAAGTGGAATAGCTGTGGGAAGTCAACAATACACTCATGGATCATCTTGTATCATTATATGTGTTTGGGTGTCATGCCCTGGCTCTCAATCTCGGTAAGAATAGTTGGGGCTCCTCTGCTGGTGAACTTGGTATAGAGGCTAAAGGAAAATATTGAAGTATATTTATTTCATAGGGAGTCTGAATAAGGTTTAGGAGTGAAAATATCATTCAAACTATGAAAAACTTTGAAAATCTCCATTTAATGTGTCTTGTGGGAGGAAAAGCCTTATGAAAGCAATAGCAATAATACTGATAACTGCATATATCATCCTTTTTATAGCATTATGTTGCCTCATTTCATTTGATATGCCTGTTGTGTGCTTTGCATACAGATCCATCACTCTTCCTCTCAAGCAAAAATCCCAATGGCTGCATAAAAGATACTGAAAAATGAACCACCTGCATCACCGTTTTTCTTTTATTTACATTGCTGATTGCAGCTCCTGCTCATACCATCACTTTCTAGTCGCCTTCGCCCAATACCTGTGCTGCAGAGTTATGTGCTCTGTTTCCCGGTTTCCCTATAAAGGGGAGATGTCTGGTCAGTGCAGGAGGAATTTGTACAGGCCCCTGGACATGAAGTCAGTTGTATCTAATATGGGCCATGTGCCATCGTGGGCCGCCAGCGTGCTGCTGAGCTGGTACAACTTCAACGAGAACCCAGCTGTAAAGTGATTTAGTCTACAGACCATTTCCTCTAACTGCAGATCAGAAGATATTTTTCATGAAATGATAGAAATGATGCAGGTAGAAATGGTCTGCAGATGCATGAAATTTTATTTTCATATTCTTGCACTATAAACTTTCCTCAGGTTTCTTGGGTGTACTATTCTCCATCCCTTGTCCCGAACCGTTGTACTGGATCCAGTTCAGAGACAAGCTGCACTTTGATGAGAAGTCCCCTTAATTTCAGTTTGCTTCTGAAGAATTGTGGAGGTCTTTGCAATGAAAAGATTTTAGATTTTGAACTTGCAAGTGTGTCATAGTTTCCTTGCTTGACCCTGTGCTTTGAAGCACAGTGCAATTTAATGCTGTCTGTTCTTTCAATTTTTCACTAAGGGGGAGTTCAAAAGCATAGTTAACTTTGAGGGATTTTTTTTGTGGCATTTCTATGATTTTCAGTTTTATTTGTTGTTGCTTTTCTTTTTTCCTTGTCTTACTCTGAGTGGTTGGGGGGGAAAAAAAGACAATTTGCAAATATCTGTCTTTGGTGAGGGAATAAACTGGATAGTTAAGGAGACAGAAGTAAATGGATGAAAAGAATTTTTTTTTTTCCTTCAACTATACCAGTGTGGAGGAAAGACAGTAAAAGGGAGTGCTATTTGGATTAAACATCCCTCTTCCCAACATGTAGGGGTAGTAGGGAATGCCTAAAGGGGAGCACAAGAACCATGCGAATGTGGCATTTTCCCGATCCCTTCCTCTGAGCTCCTTGGCCTTGACAAGCTGTGGCTTGAGGGCTTCCCAGATAAGAAGGTAATATCTTGATCTTTAACAGCCTTTATGGTTATTTTTTCTTTGAATTTGTCTAGTTATTTATGTTTTCTGTATATTATTAGAATTTGCAACATCTGAAGTAGCACATTTCAAAGTTTAAGAGCATATTGCATGAAAAAGACCCTATTTTGAGATTAGAGAACAGAAGATATAGTGCAGTGTAGGTCAAATGAAATTTTAACAGTGTGGATGCTCAGCTAACTGAGAAACTGCTCACAGAAAATAGTTATCAACACTTAATGCCACTTGATATTTCTTCATATGAAGTTATGTGACGATTTGCACTGGGACAATTAATCCTCAAAATATTCTTAAACTATATGGGTGAAGGAATCGCCTGTGTCATCCAAACTCACCAAAATGCGACATTCAGAAGTTTTTGCAATAACTATGGAATATTTTATCAAATAGGACATGTGGTCTGAAAACAGTAAGATAAAGTTCAGCACTGAAAGCTGCCAAGTACTGCACTTTTGGAAGGAAAAAATCATATGCACAAATACAAAATGTCATGTGGACCTGTGTCAAAAGACTTACTGAAGTCAAAATCTATTATGTTTTTCCTTTTCTTTCTATCCATTCAACTTCCTCCCTGTCAGTGAAGCAAGTCAGAATGCTTTGACGTGATCTGCCCTGAACAAATCTCTTTTGACTGTTTCTCATCACCTGATCATCATCTAGTTGCTGTCAGACTATTTGATTTTTTTTTTTTAATAAATTGTCCTCATATTTTGTGGGGAAAGATAAAAGTCCTGCTGCATCTTCCTGCTCTCTGTGTAAAAGATGGTCCTGGACCTGAGCAACCACCTATCAGACCTTGCAATTGCCTCAGGCTTCTGGGATTTTCATTAGTCATGGTTATCAAAGCCTCTTTTTGCTAATAAATTATGAAGTGAAAAAGTATTCTTTAATCAATGTGTTACCAACCCTAAAGTTACAATGATGACATCAAAGATACTCTGTATTCAATTATTTATTAAATATTTAAGGGGAAAAAAACAATTTTTTAAAAATGTTTTCCCTCCCTTCATATTTGCCCCTGGAACCCATTCATTTTATCCAAGAGCAATATTTATACAGCTCATAGTCTATAATTTTAAGAAGCCATAAACAGTTGCCTACATGAGCACACATTTGGCTTCTAAATTTGCCCACTGCACTAATTTGTTTTGCCTATATAAAAATTTAAAGGCATGAGTTTTCAGATGATTTATGTACACTTTGCTTAGTTCTAAGAAAGCACTGCAAAGTACATCTAATAAGTGAAAGCCAAAGAAATGTTCAGTGATTCATTTAGAATACGAAATATTGAATTTGATTGGATGCAGCAAGTCACTAATTACTCTCTAATCACAAATTCTTCCTCATTTCACAGTTGCAGATGTAAATGTGTGTTATTTTTATGGAGCAAATTAGTGGATGGAAAAATACTCAGATTTATGTCCCTATTGGAAGATACGAAGTCTGAAAGAATGGGCAATAGAAAAGCAACATAAAACTGACAGCCCAAGAAATACAACCTTACAAACATAGTCTTGTTCAGTGGCCCACAGACTCTTCACTGGAGGAAGGAGCCTTTTCATTCCAAGGTCAAAACCCAAAGCAAGCAGCTGCATCACGCCCCAAAACAGGTTAGCTGCCTAAATGTCCCCTGCAGCTCCTAGTTAGGGAGGTCTGGGCTCTAGAGAGGGAAATCTGAGTCTCCATCCTGGGCCTGTAATAGTCCCTGTGTATGATACTGCCATCTCCTAGCAGTAAGTACTGGGCTGTGTCTTGAAATATGGTTGTCTTGAGGTACTTGTGAGCAAGTGGCAGTGGGAGCAAATCCCTCATTGGGGCTTGCCCTCAGTAAGAGCGCTCTTGTGAACAGGAACTTCCACTGCCACGTGAGGTTGTCTCAGGATACTTTATTGCAATAAATTGATTCAACTGATTCAAATCAAGCGAATAATTGATATATTGATAGTTTAGAGTGAACCTAGAAATCAATTCCACCAGCTGCTGGTAATAGTCTTTAGACTTCTAGCTATAGGTGATGTGCAGTGTCAAATCCTGTCATGCCACTATCAGAGACACCACTGATAAAGAGGAGCCTGCAAAGGCACAGGTTTATTTAAGGCTTGTATATAAGTGTCAAGACTTGATATTGGGCCTCCAAATTCAAACTGACTTGCTTAAATATTTGTTTTGCAACTTTCTAACCTCAGAATTTGCAAATTTCTAACCCTCGCTCTTCTGTTGCTCTCCTTTTCCTGGATCCAGTGCACATCATGGCATGAATAGGCATGAGAGCAGTATAAATGAATTTTAAATCTGAGATTTAAAATGGAAATAAGACAGAGCTGGCTTGTCACATTAAGTCTGGATCTAGATGGAGATTCTTATTCAGGTTCACATCCAAAATACATGAGGAAAAAATTTCGTATAACTACCCTTAATGTTAAAGAATAGAAAAGATTTCTCTGCAGAACTAAATATATCAAGAAAATAGAATGGAGTTTTCTTCACATTATTTAGGGCCAGGAAACAAGTAAGAAACAATACTTGGTGACCTGCACTGTGGCCTATAGAACATGCTCATGTATAACATACTCATGTATTCTGCAGCTGACTCATGAAGTCAGTAACTTTATTCACAAGTGCTTTTTAAACTATATTCACAAGTGTTTCCTGCCAGACAAAAGCAAGTTGTGTGATCTGTTACACCTAGTTCGCATATCAGTTGCCTTATTATTAGTGAACATTTGTGTTGAGGGAATATTGGCTGCAAGTCTTTTTGCACTTTTTTTTACACAGAAAGCACACAGAACTGAAATAATTAAAAACTGCTGAAACATTTTCCACTTTTTGTGAATCATGACCATCTAAAGTGAGTTTTGTAAGATAATGGTGTTAACATGAAACCAGATGCGTTTTTATCATCTTAGAAGGGTCTATAATTTTAAAATAGAAATAGGCTGTTGTCTCCCCATAACTGTGCAGTCCAATTGTACAGTCTAATTGAGCAGTCTTTTGAGTCTGTGTTTCCTAGCTTTATTAGTTTTGTCATTGGTCTCTATTGGATATCAACTTTGGAAAATGATTAAATGGTACCTTGCAATGCAGGTATAAGTCTTTGTAGCATGATGAACTTCATGGTTTTATGTGTATTTGTTTTGCTGTCTTCTCTATTTGTTTCTGACTAAAAAAAAAAAAAAAAAAAAAAAAAAAAAAAAAAAAAAGATAAGAAACTCTTATTCTGCTCTATAAAGTGAACACCAAAGCCTAAAAGGGTCTAATGCTTTTTTCCCCAGTTTTTACTCTGCACATGAGCCCTCCATAAAGTCTTTTTTCCCCCTGAAACATTCCTACATTACCCTACTGGAATAAAAAATCCTGTGAAATTACCTGTGCATCCATTGCTGAACATTTTTGCAGAGTCTCAGTCTTTTTATGGACTCATCAGCTAAGTTTTTGTCCCTCTGAATCATACACAAAAGTCACTTGATTAAGTTTATGTGGGGCCACGTGTGTATACAAGATGGATTCATTTATCACAGTTGGCATCTTGTAGGTTTTTGACAGTGCAGCTGTTGTAGCTTTGGAGCATTTGAGCTATGTGAGCACAATATGAAATATTAATAATATCAGTGCCGTTCTATTTATTCGTGGTTCTTAAATTCTATTATAGAATCTGGGGAAACTGTCAAAATGAGTATATTTTCTCATTTAAAGTAAAAAGAATACTAACGTTAGTTTCAGAGCTTGTCTCTCCTTCTGCAGTGTCACAGGGCTCACTGGTTTCGAAGCCCACTCTCCCTCAAGTGAGGGAGTTTGGTATGTTTAGAAACCTTTTTTTTTTTTTTTTTTTTTTTTGCAACTGCTGATAAAACTGATTTTGTGGGAGAAAGGGTTACCTGCGCAAGCCATTTTTTCCCCACTATATGCATTTTTTCCCCACTATATGGTGAATGGCTTTTTTTCTTCCTTATAATTCTAGAAGCTCACAAGGAGCAATGGTGCAGGACCAACCTCCCAAAATTAACGTCCTTCCTCCAGGTTTCATTTGCTCATTTTACCTTTTGCTTGGGTGATGTCAAAAGAGACATTTCAGTTTAAATTAAAAAAATAGCTTCAGGGAGAACAATTGCATGATTCTGACTTTAAGTTATTGTTTAAGAAGAGTATGTGGTAGATTTTGTGTAATTTCTTTCTCAGAAGAAAGCCAATAGTAATGAATAATTATGGTAAAAGATGTTCTGGTCCAGCGCCTCAAGCTAGCAAAGAAAAGGCTATTTCAAGATTCTTGTCACAGTGTGCTTATCCACCAGAAGGATATTCAAATTTCATGATTCTTCTTTTAAGTTGAGTTGATTTAGTTTCAAATGTTAAATAGAAATTTGGAGTATACATGAATGCCCAAGGATCCGTGTTACAGTCTGTTGTTTCAGGCAGACTTCCTGGCATTTGGATTTCTTTGTCTGACTATTCAAATTAAATTATTCAAGGTCAAAACTAAATAGTTTTCTGTCTTTGGACAAAATATGAAACATATTGCCAATTTCTTTATTTTTTAAAAAATTACTCAACCTATACCTTAACCTAACTTAGTAAAAGCGTATATCTTTCTTTATCCTTTTAAGCATAAATTCAGAGAGGTATTGAAATTAAATAATGGCTGAAATGAAATAGTAAGAGACAAATTATTTGCTTTAACATTTCTAAATTTCAAAATTTCTTATCTTAACAGTAATATTATAAGAAATGGTAAATGGCGAGTAGTAAATATTTAAGCATTTCCAATCAACCTGTTATTTTCCCCCAACTATAATTAAAAAAAAAATCAAATATTAATATGAAGATGAGAACTAATTACCTTTACACTGATAAGGTATATCTGTGTGAAATCTGTTATTAAATTCCTGTGAAGTAAATTAATTGTAACAGTAATTTGAGATCCCCCATGCTATTGGTATTGAAGTTGAAGTTGCAAAGTTTCACGTTTTACCTATACCTATGGTATTATTATACCTATGGTATATTTATTCTGTAGGAAGAAATACAGGTATAAAATTTTTACCAGTTATGACTTGTAAAGGTTTTGAATTTTTTTAGTGGCTTTAATTAAGAGTGTTATCCAGAGTTGGGTTTGTGAAGAGATATAAAATTCTGTAAACTGATAGTAATTATGAACACATCGTAGCTGAGAAATAATGCAATTAATTCTCTTGATTTTATATTTGGTCTTGATATTTACAAGAGGAATATATCAATTTTTTTGAGTTCTTCAATGCTTTATCAATAAATTTGAATACCACTTTTTGTTTTCCAGGGCTTAGTTATTGAACGTCTTGGACGTAGACCTCTCCTCATTGGAGGCTTTGGGTTGATGGTTGTCTTCTTTGCAGTACTGACAACATCTCTGACTTTGCAGGTGAAGTTTAGTACATATTTTTGTTCTCTTTTTGTCTATTTCAATCTCTGCCTCAGCATTCCTACTTCAGCTGGTTGATTTGCCCTAAGGATTCAAAAGCCTGTGTTTGGATTACTTATAAATCATTTGGTTAGTTATAAATCTTTTTCTTTTTTCTTTTTTTTTTTTTTTTTTTGTGTGTGTGTGTATGTGTGGTGTTTAGCTGTAGTGGCTCTTGCATTTCTAAGCCATAGGGACTTTGTTGAATTCACTTTTCATTAGAATAAATGTTTATTTGTTTCAGGAACTGAACTATTTTGAAGACCATTTTATTTATAGATGAGAGATGTTATATTCTTAATATTGTATTATATATGTGTTATATATATGTTATTTCTCAATATTATATTTTTATATTAGCATGTAAAGGAGTCTTCTTGAAATTTCTTTTCATCTGAAAGCCTCATCCATATTCTTATACATGGACTTTTTTTTCCATTATAGAAAACTTTCCACTTTCATTATTTATTTCTAACTTTTAGAAAGTTTTTAATGAAAATGTGAAGACTTATACCTTGCGGAACTCTTTTGTTCAAATATGATTAGGAGTCAGTTTCCCAAGTGATTATTTTAAGTGGTCAGAGAAAGGTTAAACTCATCTTAATACTATGTCCATCATCCTGCAGAGTTTTCTTCTCTTCCTAAAGACTTTTGGGAAGTAAAAATAACAGTTCAGATCAGAATGTTTTTGGGTGGCCTTTGAGCAAGTTTTTATTCTGCTGCTGTTGATTTCTATGTCTTTGCTAACATGGGAATGATGAGTCTTGCCATTATATATATCTGAATTTAAAACTCTTGCTTGTCATGACAACTCTAGAAAACAGCAGTTAGCTCAACCTTTTAAAATAAAATCTTGATGTGTAAAGTCCTTCAGCTATTGCAAATAGCTGGAATTTCAGTATCTTTTGGACCTTTTGGAAACCAATAGGCTTGATGCCAGGGGAGTTTGTGTCTATGCTGTGTTTGCTCCTTGTCTCTCCCTCTCAGTTCAGGTGAGAATGCCAGAGTATGTAATCCTGACTGATTTGCAGGTCTCCTCATTATTGTTAATGCCTAGGAGACGATTACTATGTTTTTGGGATAACTAAGGGACCATCCAGACTGTAAGAAAATAGAAAAAATCAAAAGTGTGGTATATTTAAACTGAAATATAGTTACCTGTATTGGCAAATATAACTTACAGTGTAACACGAGATTTTTTTGTTTCATAGTATATGTGGTTATATGACTCTTAACAGACTTGGAAAAGTAGCAAAATACTAATAACATTGGTATTCACACTTTCCTGATAAAAGGTAGAAATGATGGGAAAGTAACCTGTTTTTTTCCTAATCTATAGTTATTGATATTTACATAGTATTTAAGAAGCACTATCTTGAAAATTGAATAGAAATTACTTCCAGTATTTGAAGTAAAGTTCCCATCATTCAAAGATGGGAACTGTAAAGTGGAAAAATACTTTGCCTCATGAGTTAAACAAGTGATTCCATTTACAACTCCTTTAAAGAACTTTAACACTCTTTACAGTTTTCCTTTTCCCTCTTCCTGTTATTTGCACACATGGTTGTTCTTTTGTGCAAAATCAATTTCTGGCTAAAAAATGTTGAACAATGGCTTCCATATGCCATGCTAAACTTAAGATACATTTGTCCTTCAGAAAGATGTATTTGATCTTCAGCCTATCCTTTAACTGGTTACCTTTGAAGCTCTAAAGCGCTATTTTCTAAACACAGCAGATGCAAAATTGGCACAATGGGAACAAAAAGCCTTTACACGTTGTCTTGAATTTTAGCACACCATGTCAGAAGCTTTTAGTGTTGTGGCTTTTATAGTACAAGAGATTGTCAGATATTTCATTATATTTCATTATATTTTATTATATGAATTCTGCAGAGGCTTGAATCTTCATGTAAATCACTTAATAAATTTTCACAAACTTTTTTTTTTTTTTTTTTTTTTT